TTTTCCTGTTTTTGGTGTGCACGGCGGTTGTGCTGGGGGGGGGGGGGGGGGGGGGTCACAAATATTGTGAACATGTGTACAGTTAGCGGAAGCTAGAGATGACCGTTTATAACATTTTAAATATAGATATTTTTCTTACAAAAACGCATGGATTTGCTTCAGGGGCCTTTATTCAATAAAATATAAAATGTGAAATACTTTTATATTTCAGAAATATTTATGTCGACTCTGTAGCTTACCTTTCACAGTCTGCTTTCTCCGTGAAAGAAATATTGAATGAACTCGTCTCATATGTTAACAACTATGTTACAACATAGTAGGCTAACAATAGTAACATAGTAATAACTATTTATCTGATTGGCTTGAGTAGACGGTGGGTGGAGTCCACGTATTTGTGGATTGTCAGCACGTCATGGGATGATGGGAAATGAAGTCCTAAGGAACAGTTAGTACTCCGGTGAGGGTTCCCTCTGGTGGGGATCGGAGGGAGCCACGGAGGCTTGATTTGTGACAGTTAATCTCTTTACATTTATTTATGGATCGTAAACTATTTATTTGGAATTATGCAACAATTCTATCTCCATACCCAACTGTCGTCAGCCTCCACACCACCTTGGGACCCTCCCTTGACTCTGCCGTGGGCTGTCAGCTCTTGGGAGCTCTGGGTCTGTGCCAGCGGACTTCCTCCATCTTCGCCGCCGAGGTTTCGTCGTCCTCCTGCCACCAGCCCTCATTTCTTTGACCCCCTCCCAAACCCCCTACATCCCTCTGTTCATCTGTTGTTCTGTTACGGCACAAGGTTGCGCCTTGCTTATGTTCGTTAGTTTTAGTTCATGGACTTTAGGTTTGTTATACGGACTATTAGTAGCCTATGTTTTTCATCAGTTTTCAGTTTCCTTTGTCTATGTCGCTTGCTCATCATTTGTAATCATTAGTGTCCAGGAAGTTGTGGCCTAATGGTTAGAGAGTCGGGTTCGAGTCTTGTACCGGCAGGTATTATAGGTGGGGGAGTGAAGCTCTCATGGACTTCAATACCATGACTGAGGTGCCCTTGAGCAAGGCACCGAACCCCCAACTGCTGAAATGGCTGCCCACTGCTCCGGGTGTGTGTTCACTGCTGTGTGTGTGCACTTTGGATGGGATAAATGCAGAGCACTAATTCCGAGTATGGGTCACCATACTTGGCCACATGTCACTTCACTTCATTAGGATAGCCTAAGTTGTGTGTAGCCTACTACAACCTGTCTGCCTGCTTTTGGAGATATTATTCAAATTTGCGTGTTTGAAACTTGATCTTCTGTCTTCCTGCCTGCTACACAACGTGACACCCATGTTATCACAGTTGAATAAAGAGCTGCTTAATAAACACAACACTTTTTTTCTGAAGAAATCAATAGATTTTAAATGAGTAACGATTCAGTAAGGAATCATCTGTAAGCTGTAAGGTGGGACCCTGACGGTTACATCGCTGGTGGAAGGCAGAAGCATTATATCCATGGACTGAACTGGTTTGTAGAGAAGAGTCCGTTTCACTTTCCCCAGTAAGGCACAGAGCAGCTTTCTTTGCTCATCTGTTGAATTAGAAGTGTGAGGAGCCATGCTGAGCTTTTCAGCCTTTTTTTAATCTTTAAGCCTAGACAAAAATACATAGGCTACACACATTTTCTTTATATATTATTATATATAATTTAATAAAAAATATTTTGTGTATGCACAAAAAATATGCAAATTTAATTTACTTTGTTTACTTTCATTTACTTTTTATTGATTCTTATTTAGTCAGAATTGTTTTTGTTCTGACTAGTTGTGTTTCATTTTTTTACTCTTATAGAAGTAATCACAGTCACACTGTTTTACTTTGAGTACTTTTACTCTTTTTTTTCTTTTTTTTTTAACTTTGACTAACAGTGCAATTCGTTAATTAATGCACATTTCTACATAAACTTATGCATTTTTAGTATGGTAATATCTTGACGTTAACATTATTTTCTAACATGGCAGATGAATAAGCCTTACCATAAACAGTGTTTGCCCAGAGCTAGTTTGCATGGGCTAGTCATGCCCTTTCAGAAACTAGGCCATTTAACTAGAATTGAAACTGAAATGCACGACAAAGAATGAATGACTGAATTTAATAACAGTTTGTTAAAATTTAAATACTTTAGATCTGAGAAAAGACTTGCGTGTTTGAAAACTATAGCATGTCCATTAAATTGTGGTAAAATCTAGAACATTAACATTGAATATTTACCTTTGATATTTATATCGACTCTGAAGCTTACCTTTCTACTTTGCATTAAAAAAACACTGAAATGCTCTTCATACAAGATCAAAATTAGTACAGCACGATTTCAAGCTGCTCTCTCTTTTCCTCATTACCACACTGGATGACAATTGACATTAACTTTGGACATTGACCACAAACAAGGATATGGAAGTCTTTTGCGAGTGTTAATGAACTGTAGATGACCATGACGTCATTCTTTAAAACAATTATAGGCTTCATATAATTTCCCTAATGCCATACGTCTTCCTTTTCAATTTTGTGTTTCTGTTTTGACACAAAATCTTTAAAAAATTGTTACAGTATGAGAGAGTACACTCTAAGAAGAGATTGAACCTTTGGAGTTCAAAAAAGAACTTTAAAACACAGAATACTGTAGAAGTTTTACAGATGTGCCACATTGGTTATTCTTAAGATTTCTTGTTGAAAGCTTTGACCAATTTTTAGATGTTCTTTACATTACTTACAACCCGTTCTGTGAATTCAGGCTTCACCTAGAGAAAATGAATGGTGATCATATCAGCTGATAAAACCTGGCATGTTTTTTTTTTTTAAATCACTTACATTTAATGTTAAATAATAATAATATTAAATTTGCAATTGTTGTTGAGAGTGGTGTACATTGTTTTTGATTTATTATCATTGAAGGACATGGTTAAGTTGAAGAATTGATCATAAACCGTGGACTGCCACCAAAATAATGACTCGATTATTACCTCTATAGATATTATCATCCTTATCAGCCACAGCTGTAACTCAGGAAGGTGAATATTAGACACCTAGTGAGACGCATAGTACAGTAATAGTATAGAGATAATATTTACTACATTTGCCCATATATAGCTTAATCAGTTCTGCATTCTGTTTGTTTGTTTATTAATTCAATATTTAAATAGAAATGTTAAATTATATGTAATTAAATATATATTCTCTCTCTCTACATATATATATATATATATCGTTTATTTATTAATTTAACATTTAAATAGAAATGCTAAATTATATGTAAATATTTAATATTAATTAATTAAATATTCTCTCTCTACACACACACACACACATATATATATATATACATATAATTTTGTCATTTGTATTCAATTAATTATTGTTCAATTTAATCTTGCACAGTCCTGAAAGAAACTTTCAAGCATCAAAAACTGAACTTAATTTGATCAAAAGAAGCATTTCTTAATACAGATTTTAGCATCTTGAATTCTAACACATAATTCTAGTATTATGTACCTGATTATGGCACAACAATATTCCAACAACAAAAGCGACAAACAATTATAATGAAATGTACAGCTTAAATGATATGTGAACTTTGTTGGCATTTCCCAACATTTTCTTAAATGGATATTATGTATGATTATGAAAGATCTGGCCGAACAGAATAAAAATCTTCTAATTTAAGATTAGCCTACTCGTTTTGCTTATCAAGAGGAATAAATCCCTATCTCTGCAGCATTTTATGGCCTAAAGGACATCAACATCATCCAGATAGTCGTCTGCTAAGCGAAGCATCTGCTGTAAAGCGGTGAGAAGCAGGACGTCACAGTTGAGCTCCAGCTCCAGCTCCTGACTGTAGTTCTTCACCGGTAACACACAAGACACCGGCACACCCAACCGAGAGCTCACCTCCTGCACCTGCAGACACAAAACAACACCTCCCTCACTCTGAGTCCTGTAGGAACAGACCATGTGATCATGTGACCGCCTCTCACCTTTGACTTGATGTAGGAATTGAGATAAATTATGTAAAGGTCCTTCTCTACATAAGGACATGCTTCATCTACTTTTGTCATCAAGACCATCTGGGGAATGCCTGAAATTGTGTCAATAACCAACATTTTGCATAAGAGTTCGCTTTTGGCTAATTGAACATTTGGTATGTGTCATAAGTAAATTATAATTTAGCCTTGAAATAACGTTGAGATCACTTACCCAGTGAGCTTATTTCTCTGTGTATCACAGCAAGTTTTTCCTCTAGTTTGTCGGACATGAGGGAGATTTTGCTGGCATCTATCACGTACACCACACAGTGGATCTTCTCCTGTAGAGATGCAGGTCTGGAGGCATTTTGCTCATCAGGTTGAAAAGGTACCATGGGGTTGAACTGAATCAAGAGGATTTGGCATGAAACAAACAGCATTACTATACTTCACCGTTCATTCATTTTGGAGATGAGTGCACTTACTTTATAGCGGTCTGGTACGCGACCTTGAAGAATGCTGCTGATGTCCTCAATATCCAGTCCTGCACCTGTTTGCTCCTCGAGTCCCATGGTGTCACACAACACAAACGGCAACGGCTTTCCCTCACGACCGTCTTTCACTGGATATGTGCGAAACTACCAACCAAGAAGAGAATCACATCAGGAGACATTCCTCAGACTGAAGAGGGACTTCTGTAGGAAACGCTATTCTATAAATCCTGTTGAATCTGTACCTGTGTGGTGAGACTAGTGCCTGCAGATCCTGACATGGCTTTGTTGGTCACATGACCAGTGAAGATGGAGTTGATGGAGTTGAAGAAACTGGATTTTCCAGCACCTACAGGACCGATCATTAGGATTCGAACACGGCTGACAGACGTCACCAGGGGTTTATGATCCCTCATCATTTGCATGAGCTCATCTCTTCGTCTAAAAAAAATCACAACTTTTTTATTGACAATTACTGTATTAAATGAGCAGCAATGAATGAACACTGCAAACTTACATAGATGTCCATCGAATATTCCTCCATGGCTTCTCCTTGGTCTGAAGGTCTAATATTGAATAAAGATGATTAACTTCTGCTTAAGTAATTGAACTAAACAAGTACATTTTTAGAGACTGGACTCATACATTTATACAATTTACTTTACACAACAACATGCCACACTTTTTCTGATGACAGACTTACTCTGCTTCACTTTGTAGACCTCACATTCAGTCAGCACAGTGTCGTTCCCATAGAATCTTTCAGCATTAAAACTGAATGATTTACCTCCTCGAATATACACAACTGGTTGGTTGTTTTTGCAAAAATACAACTGTTGGCCAAAGTTGGGCATTCCAGCATTGTCATAACGTGCATAATGTCCACTGTTTGCTTTAATGTAGACAGGGAACTTGCCTTGAAAGCTGAACAAGAAAGCCTCCTCATCAGTAATACACTGCTCGTTTCGAGTATAATCTACACTAGTGTATCCACCAAAGATGTAGCCTGAACGGTTGTAGGCCACAAGTAAGGTGGGACCTTGACGGTCACATCGCTGGTGGAAAGCAGAAGCTTGATATCCATGAACTGAAGCTTTGTAGAGAAGAGACAGTTTCACATTCCCCAGCAGGTCATGGAGCTGCTTACTTTGCTCTTCTGTTAAATCAGAAGTGAGGGATTCTTCCATGAAGAAATCTCCATACCGTCTTTGCATCTTTAAGGCAAAACAAAACAGCATGCATATATAAATTTAAATACAAATATAAAATGTATTTTTAGTTGAAAAATGAAATGAATTTCTTTTTTATCGTTTTACTAAATACACTGAAAAAAGGTGTGCAGAAACAAGTTTCACTTAAAAATTGCTAGAAAATGTTACTAATAATTACAAAGAAACAGCAAGCATTGAATTAAATGCAAAATTTTGAAGTATAGGAATAATACCGAAACACTATTTTCTTGTAAAATGTCCAATAATCTTTGTTTTATTTACAACTTCGAATTTTTTTAACAGTGTATTAATGGAAGAATTAAAAACTGAAAAGGGATCTTTGGTTTTAAAGGACACAAATGGGCAAGCGACACTTTGACAGAAACTAGTCAGTTTATCTGGAATTGAAACCGAAACGGCACAGCATAAAAAAGTTTTGTTTCGGGTTTTTTTTTTATCACTGTAGGCCTAATGCAATTTGTAAAAAAAACTATTTTAGATATGATAATACTTTCTCGTTTGAAATCGATAGAATTACAGTAAAGTTTTTGCATTAAGTTAAGTTTTTGTCTTTCAAAATGCATAGAATAATAAATATCTTTATGATTTCTATATCGGCTTACCTTTGTAGCGGTATTGTGCACGAAACAAATAGCTTACTCTTCGTGCACCACACACATAAGGACATGGTGAGCTTCCTGTGTCTGCCAAGAACACATTACGTTTAGCAGGATGGAGTGGAGGAAACCGCCCCCCTTAAGTAGTCCAAAGTATTATATAGTATTTAGATTAAGTTACAAACCTTGTGTGATTTAACAAAATATGTTAGTAAATTACTTTTTAAAGCGTGTAGACCTATTTTGTAATCTGTAGTGATATTTCAGTGATAAGTGTTATA